AATAAAAAAATAATTAAAATAAAATGGTCAAAAGCCGTTGAAATGGGTTGACGGTTCAACTGCCTAGGTCAATGGGTCATTGATTGATTCAATGGAACTGGTTGTTTGGATGGCTCAGGTTAAATGGTCCAACCATTCGGGTCAACAACAGTTTGAAAATCGTGTCAAAAACCGTTGAATGGRTCGATGATTCAACTGCCCAGATCAACGGTTTTTGGTCAGGGACCGGGTTTGTAATAAAACGGAACCGGTTGCCTGAATGATTCCCGGGTCGAACGGTCCGACAGTCCGGGTCAACGGCGGTTCGAAAACCATGAATTGACCAGACCACGACAGAGTGAACAGACGTTGCGCGAGGCACCTGTGCGGCTGTACTGAGACCTGAGATTCAAGCTTTTGTGCGACTGCTCTTCCCTCCTAAAAGGCTAAAACGAATGTCACCGATCGTAAGATTCGGCCGTTGGACTTCGTCGCTGGAGAGACTAAAACGACACAATCAACTGCAATTCGTCTTCCCTTTCACCACCATCGCAGAACATGGCGAGGAGAAAYCCAGTCGGCCTTCGCCTCCTCCCATCCGAGTTGCCTTCACTGAGTCAGCGGGAAGAGGTGTGTTCGCAACTAGGAGAATTGGAGCCAGCGATCTTATTCACACCGCGAAGCCCTTAGTTGCTCATCCTTCTCTCTCGCTTCTCAACAAGGTCTGCTATTTCTGCCTCAGACAGTTGGGACCAGATGCTTCTTCTGAATCCCAAACTGCTCGTTTCTGCAGCGAMAAATGCAGGAAACAATCCGAGGTAACTAACTTTTATTGCTAATTCCATACTAGTTTTGACAAAGATGGTTTAGATTTTATTTGATAATCTTTATTTTTTGTGATTAATGTGAACTACTTGTGGGAGTTGGGATGAAATTCCTTTGAATGCTTGTGCTTTGAAGGAACATTGTAGTTGAGTTTTGAAAAATATGACTGAAACTTATTCAATTTAGTGGTTGTTTTCATCGAATGAGTTCAAGTACTTGTCAGAAAAACTTATTCAAGGAAAGGGTAGGACGGAAGTTAGCATCATGAAAGCCCAAGTACTTGTCAGAAAACATTAATAAAGTGTGCATTATCCTCTCTCCCAACCTACTTTCTATCCCTATTCCCTATACCAGTCAGTGTAGCAAATTTGATTGAAAAATGAGTTTTTGGTAGAAAGGGTGGAAGGAAGAGTTCAAGTTCCATATAGTAAATTGGGGCAAGGTGTGCTATCCAAGAAAGAGGGGAGGTTAGGAGCAAAGAAGCTAAGACATGGCACTGCTAGGGAAGTGGTTCTRGAGGTGGAATGAATGGCCTAACAGTCTATGGAGCAGAGCATGATTATCCAAGCAAAATATGGAGCAAGTAATATGAACTGGGACTCAAGTGAAACTAATGCAGCTTATGTTATGGTTGTGTGGTATGGAGAGGCATTCAAAAATCTTACATTGAATTCAAAAAAGGAATTAGATATGAGGTGGGGAATGGAACAAGAACAAGAACAAGAATAAACTTATCAAAATGAAATGGGACACAAAGAAAATTCTGGGAGGATATATGGTGCAGGGAGCAGCCGCTAAAGGAGGTGTGTACAACCTTGTTTGAAGTTGCAAAGAATAAGGAATATCTTATTAGCAGATTTGTATTCTTTCAATAGGGAACCAGGTGATTGGAACTCCACTTTTAGGAGGAACCTAAATGACTGAGAAATAGACCAATGGGTGAACTTTTGCAGAATATTTGGTTATGCCYGACAGATCCAAAACAGATTGAAGAATCTCTGGTCATTGGAGAGATCTGGAAAGTGCACAGTGAAATCTTTTCTGTTATGGACAGCAACATTGTGGAAGCTTCCAAACTGTGGAAAACCAAATAGATGAGGTATGGTGGTGGAAAACAGTAGCTGTACAATGCGCGTGGAAGGTATTGAATCAGCAGATCACCTGTTTATATACTGCAGAATTGCAAGTGGAATGTTGGTTCAGGTGTTGAACCTTTTCCAGATACAGAGCTGCTTACCTGCGAAGTTAGAAGTTTATATGTGGTGCTGGAAAATGAAAGGACTGAGCAAGAGAAGGAAAACCATATGGGGGGGGGGGTAATTCCATTGGCATTTGGTCAGAAAGGAACAAAATACTCTTTGAAGATAAGGTTAGTCTGGAAGACACATTGATGAGGAACTAACTGATCTAAAAAAAGATACATTAATGTGG